GTACCATCCATTCCGGTGTGGTTGGATTCTGTTCAGGTGAGTTATAGAATCAATTGAGCGATGCTACCTACTTTGTTGATCTAGTGTTTGTCCGCCACGACTGCTCAACCAACTGCTAAATCATGGGTTCTAATCTCATTTCCACCGGAAACAACCCAGATCGCTTCGTGAGCTCATTTAGTAGACAGCGAGTGTGCGCCCCTTTGCGGTTTACATGGTTCGCGGCGCAGTTTGTGGTTTTCGAAAAACTCAAACCGCATATGTGGTGCGGTTTGCAGTTTTGGCTGTAAACCGCACCAAACCGCACCGCGAACACCCCTACTAATAATAATAATAAAAATATAAATCAAACAACGCATCGGTATCTCGAGGGTTATATTTAAGTATTTAAGCAGCAATGTTTTTGTTGAGGAAGTGTACGATAAAGTAGCAACTGATTCAATTGGTTTGACCAATTCAATTCGCTAAAACTGAGGAATGGTGGTTCAATTTGACTGATTCACCTGTTTTGACGGATAAGATTTTTTTTCAATGCATAAAGTTGTTGTAAATGCTGCTTTAAAGGGTGTACCTCTTAAAATTCAGCATTTGAGGCTAAATGCTTATTAATGTACTAGCCGTTTACCCGCGCCAAGCGACGGGTGTGAATTATTTTTGTAGAAATTAGTTTGTAGGAGATGATTCGACGAAATTTTTTATTTCATTGATACTTTTTTTTCAATTAATTTTCTTTCGAAAATTAAAACCTTTCTTTCGAAACCACATTATTATACGATGCGGTTTAGTGTGTTGCGAGCGGTTTGAACGGTTCAATGAACACCCTAGTTTAGCCCCTATTGTTAAAAGCTTTTATTAACTTCGTTTGAGGATAAAATGGTCATATTTACAAATATAACATCTTAATAGATAGATTTATCAATCGAATGACCAACCATGCATAAAAGTAAAACCACAAGCACGGTCTATGTCGTGATATGTCATGATATTAAAAGATGTATTAAAACTAAAAATTTGTTGAAACCATAGGAACCATTTTTGAAACTTACTCATGTATTATGATTTGAAGTTATGAACACCTTAATTACATCAGATTATTATGTTTCATCGTACTGATACTTATAATGTTAAAATTACCTTGTAAGTTTGGTCTTTCGGGAGTCGATGACCAGCCTTTGAAAATAACTAAGATTTATCGGGTCATTTTTTAAGCCTTGTTGGAAATATTTGTCATTTAAAAATTAACCAAGTCTCCTTAGGATTGGTCTTAGTAAAAAAGAGTCAATTTAAGAACTTTGACAAAGTTTAACCGCAAGGATCTACAAACATAAACACAACTCACAGCGACACACCATTTCATATATAGATACTCACTTGCACACAACAATCAAATACACATTCAAACACACACACGCACAACTATATACACAGTCACATAAACATACACAACGATACACATATCCATACACAAATAATCCAGATTGGCAGACTGTTTCGTGTCGGATGGTTTATTTCAACGGATAGTATCTAGCTAGGTGTATAGTCGGACAATACGGCGGGCAAATAGTAAAGATACTTCTAAATTACAATGTTTATTCTAAAAAATAGAATTAATCAAATTTAAAAAAAACATGTTATTTACTGTGTCATATATCGTTCTTATTCTTTGTTTAAAAAATGGTTTCCAAACATAAAAAGTTAAATATTTTTTTTCAAATATTAGAGCATCACTTTGTTTTTTATACCTATATCAATTTTAAAAAATTAATATCAATATTTATAATTACCATCAACCAATAACAATAAATACTAAAAACAAATAGTTTAAGCACGTAAAAGATACCAATGATTTTGAGTATTTTTTTTGAAAAAGAAAATAATAACATATTTTATTTATCCATTCAAGAAGAAGAAAAATTAAATTCAAGGGCTGCTAGCTGTCAATGAAGAAAGAGTACAAGTTGGATTTGTTCAAGAAAGCATGGAGTCATATCTTTTAACGACTGAAAATAATTAACTAAAAGAGAAAACCTGCTGGGTGATGACAATTATAGTACATAGACACTACAATTAATGTAAAATACATGTGAAACTAAAGAAACTATAAATGACAGGGTGGGAACTAACAAATGGACTTTTTAACAACTACCAAGGGACTAATTTAGAGATGATTTTTCCTTTTGGAGTTAGAGTATTCAGAGCTAGAAGCCAACTTGACTACTTGATTCCAAAAAACAACCGATTCATGGAGATCGATATTGAGATGTCCAAACAAGGGAGGCGATGTATAGGGGTATTTTGGTCAAATATGCCCTATATGCAACAAAATATTGATGTCATAAGTGATACCACATCATCCATTGACAAGGGTATTTTGGTCCAATTTTCCATCAACTACAAGATCATGATTCCAAACCTCACATTGTTTCTACTTCCAATAAGCCAACTGTGTATTTTATAAACTTGGCTAAAATGAACATCGTAAAACATGCCATAAGTAACTGAAATATTTATTCAAATGCTTACAAGTTATTAAGTGCATTGCTCCTTTCACACATAAAACCATACCATGTGATAGAAAACAAAACAAAAATCAAAGTACATTACTCTTTCATGCAAAAAACCATACAGGTGACTAAAAACCAAAAAAAAATCTATTAACAAAAATGCTCCCTATATAAAGAAAGCATAAAAGGTCTGTTAAAAAAGCTAACATAAATGGCCCCTGTTTAATAAACTCCATAAATGATCTTAAAATGAAGATGTTATCATAGCAATCTTCATCGGATATCATCAATAACATATACTTGAAACTGCTGAGGAAGACAAAATTATGAAGAAACAAACCCCTTCTCAATCCTCTGTTAAAAGTGAGACAAACAATGAAAAAAGTTGTTCAATGAGAAGCATAAAAAGAAGAAAATATATAAAACTAAACTGTTAATAAGAATTATAAAAGGAAGAAAATCTACAAAACTAAACCTTTACAAACAAACTCATTGCCACCTTCTGGAAACACCTTTTTGGCCAATTGAACAGTTACTCAATCAAAAAAATTACCTCAGTACTCGATGACTTTAGTTCTAGGAATAAAATGAAAAGCTTCACATCTCCTGTTCTTACTATCAACGCTCAATTTGAAAGTTTCTGTTCAAAAAGTATTTGTCAACAATTCCTGATTTTCTACATTCTATCAATAAAAACACTCCATATGTTCTGTATATTTGAAAATAATTTTAAAATCCCCAAAAAATGAAAAAAAAAGTGGAAGAGAAATATATACAAAGTGGGGAGGGGGACCAGGAAAACCGATTTAAGAGCTCTCCTGTGATAATCTTTTTGATTCATTTGACCTGGATGGTACAATGAAAACCAAGTTTAGAGAAAATCTAGGATTTATAACCAGAATGGGAAAGAGCAACACGATTATAGCAAAGAAGTTCGTGGTGATGGAGACGATGGTCGCTGTCGAAGTGACGATGTCTAAGGTTTTCACAGAAGAAGGCTTCTTTGTTGTTCACCTGCAAATTTTTGTATCAAACATGACAATAATAAGGGAGACTGTTATTACATGATTATGAATTATGAAAATGGGACCTATAGGCGTTAGAGATACACATATCTTGATGTTCATGTGTACCATGTACCGTTTAGGGTTTCTATTAGAGAGAAAGAGGGGGACTGTTGTGATGGTGCAATTGTGAGCGTAGAAATTTGTAGGTGGCCACTGTTGAATAGTGTTTAAGCGATGGTGCAGTTCTATTTACCTGTTATAATGGGAAGATGTTTCAAGGAATTCAAATGAGAATGCCAGGTGAAGAGACACAAGTGAACCTGTTTGGTAGCTTCCAAAGTCATCGAATACTATTACTTGCTGATGCTCCTTGGCCGGAGGTAGATTTCATTGCCATCTGCAACAAAAAAACCAAGTTAATATTAATCACATCAAGATTAAAAAACAATGTCATCGAGAAAAGTGGAAACGGGGGAGGGTTATATAAATGGGCGAAGAGTAACAAATGCATCGAGGGTCAATGAATCTCGCCTTCTTATCTTGACCTTTTCAAGCTGTTGACCGATTTAATTGGGCGACATTGTAGGAATATCAGTTTAATTTTGACCGATTCGCTTTCTAAAGTTGTTCAGATTTCATTCTCGTTGACCAAAGATTTCAATGCATAAAGTTGTTGTAAATGTTGTTTTAAGGGTGTACCTTTTAAAATTCAGTAAAACATGCTAAATGCTTATTAAGGTGTATATATATATATATATATATATATATATATATATATATATATATATATATATAGGGTTAAGTTCAAATGAGAACACTATTTAATGTGAGAACGTGAGAACACTACTTTATGTTACTATTCTACTATGAATTTAATATGTATAGTATTGTAGTAATTATAATATGAATATATTCAATTTTATATTGCTATTCTACTATAAAATTTATATATATATATATATATATATATATATGTAGTAATTTAGTAAATTCTAATGTGAATGTTAAATATGTGATTGTTCATATATTCGGTGATGAATAATGTCATAAAGTTGTACATACAAACATTTAATGTGAATATTAATGTGTGATTGTTCGTATATTTGTTGATGAATAATGTCATATCGTTGTATATACAAAATTCATAGTAGAATAATAACATAAAGTAGTGTTCTCACATTAAATAGTGTTCTCAGAACTTAACCCTATATATATATATATATATATATATATATATATATATATATATATATATATATATATATATATATATTCAATTTCTCAATTTCTTACCGTTAAAAAAAATAAAATTCCACCAATAGAAATGGGAGAGAGTGCGAAAGGGTCCCGGCGACCGGGGCGCTCCATCGGTCTAATAACCTAAAAAAACCGCTTTTTATTTTATTTTATTTTATTTATAAATTATGCAAGTTTTAAAGTTTAAACACATATATACTTCCCGCTATTATGCTCTCTTTTCAAATCCAACTGCGAATTGAATATTGTTTGTCAGACACCTCGCCAGTCGTCCCTGTTCATCAACTACGCACTTGATTGATTACATCCCCCATTGAGTACAAATTCTATGACTTCCCGTGCAGGTAAACAAAGATGCAAACCCTAATTTGTTAGTTGCATTTTATTACTAAAAGTGATGTAATTTAAACTTTTCTTAGGTGAAAAGAAAGTCGATCTCTGGTCACAGATCGCAGCAACTGAATCGGATAATGAACTTCAACAGCAGCAAACCGCCATTGTTTACAAACGCAAACAAACCCAAAATGAAAGCCTACCAACCACGTGAGTTGCTCATTTCTAGTTAATATAGTGATTTAGCAGACTCTGTACACTATTCGTCATCGTTTACATTTTATTTTCACAGTTTTACCTAAAAATTGTACCTTTCATAGTACCCTTTTAACAGATTAATGGAGTCGAGCTTGTTTCTTTAGAAATCGAACTGTTATTATAAATTTCGAAGCTAAGCATTTTAGGGTTTTAAGTTTTAACACTCAAAACTCAAATGTGGAAGCGGATAGCAGCAGTTTCTATCTTCAATGTCTGTATGTTTTTTTTAATGAAATAATTTACAAGCTTGTGTTTAACGACACTTGCTCCTCTCCAGGAAGCAGGTGAGTTCTATTCAGAAGAATCGGGTGAGTTTGGTTCCAGGGAAGAGGATCAGTTGGAATCGTTCTCTCTTCATCAGGTTTTACTCTAACTTATCAAGTGAATTTTATTCCATTCCAGTTGATAATAAAATACTAGTTTTAATGGATATATATATATATATATATATATATATATATATATATATATATATATATGCACCCTTTGCCTTTACATTCAATTTTCAGAGGGAGGACAAGTATTGCTGTTGCTGCCTGTGTTGAATATGGACCTAAAAAGGAGAAGCATATAAGAAAACAGAAGCCTCCCCTTTCTAGAGTATGATTCTTTTACTTCTAACTTGGATTTCTTGCCCCCATAGCACAATTACCTAATTTACATCTCACATATTGCTTTTGGGATTGTTGGAAGAATAAGCTTTTTACAGAATCATGTGAACTTGTTCAGGCAAAAGGTGCACCACCTCAAAACTTTGATAAGGAGCGTGCATACTTTGAGGAGGTTGATGCATTTGAGTTGTTAGAGGAAAGTCCTTCACCTCAATGCAAGACTTGGGTTATGGGAAACAAAAATTATATTCCTCAATCATCACATATATCATCAGTTTTGAAAAAATGGTTACTTGCCCACAAGCCAGATCACAGTTGTGGACCCTCTACTTCACTTTCCAGGATCCTTGACACTCCTTTAGGGGATTCTATTCATGATGGAGTTTTGGATTTATCAAGCTTAAAAACTTCTTTAGAAACACTTTCTCAGGCCAACAAAGGTTTCAAGTCAAACCAAAATAAGATTGTGGGAAGTGATGTTCTTCAAAGTCATAATACCTCTTCCACAAAGAGAATTCAGGATTTGAGTGAAAATGATTCTGAAGAAATTGAATATGTGATTCGTAATCTCTCTCTATCATCCCAAAACTCTTTGATTGAGCAACAATGGGATCCATTATTAGCACTCTTAGCAGTTTGTGGACAGTCTTCTCCATCAACATTTTCGGATGTGTTATCTCAATATTGGTTGGTTTTCTTTTACAATTTACATATATATTATATTTTATATAAGTATATGTATTTAAAGAAAAAAGACACCATTTGACACATGGATCTTTTGTGAATGCAGTGATCTCCAAAGTATTGCAAAGGTAGGTGAAGGTACATATGGGGAAGTTTTTATTGCTGGTGGAACTGTTTGCAAAGTTGTTCCATTTGATGGAGACTCATTAGTGAATGGGGAAGTTCAAAAGGTACTTTTTTTTTTTTTTTTTTTTAAACCTCTTAATCTTTCATCTAAAAAATGAACTTCAATGAGAAGCTGCTTGGATTGAATGGTAACAAATTATTATTGATGATGGGTGTTGGCTTTACTAATGGCTTGTGTTTTTATTTATTTATTTATTGTGGTATAGAAAGCTGAAGAATTGCTTGAGGAGGTTATGCTTTCACTGACCCTGAATCAATTAAGGGGACATGATAATCATATTCATAATGTTTGCCCTACATTCATACATACATTAGGGTAAGTATTCATTTTATTAGAGTTTCTCTATTTATATATTATACAGACGGTTTATATGTTCCTAGATCAACTTTTATAAACAGTATATAAGTTGATAACAAAATAATTGTTTAAAGAATTTTTTGTCCTCTTTTTGCAGTTTAAGGGTATGTACGGGTGCTTATGATGATGAGATGATAAGAGCATGGGTAGAATGGGACAAAAAGCATAATTCAGAGAATGATCATCCTTCAGAGTTTTCTGAAAAGCAGGTTGCAAATCATGATAATTCCATTTACTATTTTTTAATTTTTAATAATAGATTTTTAATTCTAACAAATTTATGCTTTGTCTCAGCGATTTGTTGTGTTTGTTCAAGAACATGGTGGACAGGATCTCGAGAGCTTTGTGCTTCTGAGTTTCAGTGAGGCACAAAGTTTGCTACTTCAAGTATGTTGCTACTTTCATATCTTCTCATTACAACATTCTACTTTTCTAGATTTCTTTATTGTAACATTTTCCTTTTATTTTTTCTTATTACACAATTATACTTTAAACTTAAATTTTATTATTGTTCTAATGGACAATTCATTATGTATCCAGGTTACTGTTGCTTTGGCAGTGGCAGAAGATGCATTTGAGTTTGAACACAGGGATTTGCACTGGTTAAGTATCCTTCATAATCATAATCATAATATATTTTTGGTTAATTTTTATTACCTGTTGAGCTTTTTGTAAACTGTTTGTTTATACATGTATATATATAGGGGGAATATTCTGTTGAGCCGAAAAGGTTGTAAAACATTGGAGTTCGTTCTTGATGGGAAGAAAATGCATGTCAAGACACATGGACTTGTGGCATCAATCATTGATTTTACACTTTCAAGGATCAATACTGGTAATGTTTTGAGGTTTTTTTTTTGACTTAATCAACTTAATGGGGGAAATGAGTCAAACGACTTAATTGAGTAAGCTATATATGGATATGCTTCTTTTGAATTAATGTAGAAAGAATGACTTGTTATTGAAAGTCATAAAAACCGACTTTTCCCATTAAGTTGCAACTTTTTATAAAGTTATGGATTTACTCCAAATGTTTGATTTGTTGCACAAATGGTCCCTAAAGCGTAGTTTTTTTTCTCATATGTCTTGCACACAAGGGCAATTTCGTCCTCACCCCCTCTCTGTGCCCATCTAATAGCAACATTCATTGTTGTCACATCACATGATTGTACTTAGATGGATATACGAGAGAGAGAAATATAAAAGGACAAAATTGACCTTGTGTACAAGGCATATTGACTGCACTTAACAAAGGCAGTTTTAAGTTTTAACACTGTATGTGTAATGTGTTAGGGACAAAACATGCAACAAAAATAAAGCTTTAGGGAGTTGGGACCATATCTGGATTATCATCCATAACTTTTGACATAGCACATGTACAAAAAGTTTTATAATTTTGTCATTTATAGATTTACCCTCATTCATTTCTTCATTCTGTTTCTGTGTCTTTTTTTAATACTTTTTGGATATCATTTATCTGGAAAACATTTTATCTAGACCACACAAAAAAATGGAATAAAAAAGAAACAGGGTTTAAGTAATTTTTTTTCTGAAATACAAAACAACAATTTTTGGTTTTCAGGTGAAGATATTTTATTTCTGGATCTATCATTGGACCCCGGACTCTTTGAAGGCCCGAAAGGAGATGAACAGGTAACGCAAACATAATTTATTGATATCTTCTAACAACTTAATCGTATTATTTGCATTTTTTTTTTATATTATATTATATTGTTATGTGCAGTCGGAAACTTATAGGAAAATGAAAGAAGCCACGGAAGATTGCTGGGAAGGAAGGTATGATAACTGGGAATCTAATAATTTTGAATAACTTTTGATATTTAGTAAGAGTGTGAAAGTATATATTTTACATTAAGGAAACTCTATAAAAAAGTTGAAATGCATACACGCTTCTCTTTCATCTTACAGTTTCCCAAAGACAAATGTGTTGTGGTTGCAATACCTGGTTGACGTTTTGCTGCGGAAAAAAGTTTATGTAAGTCCTGTTTATAACTACATTTGGGGTGTATTGACTGTGATTCATGTCAATAGACAAAATTCCAATTTTGTCCTATCCAAAAAGGTGAAACAAGGTTGGATTGGGACTTGGTGGTTGTTAAAAAGACTCAAATGCCCTGCTCATCCTCATCGTTAACAGACATCAAAACCTTTTTTTCTTTCTAATTATATATATATATATATATATATATATATATATATATATATATATATATATATTGCAATTTTTTTTGACAGGATCGAACATCTAAAGATACGAGAGAGTTGCGTTCTCTGAAAAAGCGGTTAAACAGTTACGAGTCGGCAAAAGAATCGATTGTTGATCCTTTCTTCAGTGAATTGATTGTTAATGAATAGTAGGAAATGATTGTGAAAGGTTCAAGTTATTTTCGACCTTTTTTTGGTTTCTAACTTTGAAAAGAATATCTAAGAAAGTGATTTGTTCATATGGCATCATGTGCATGTGTGTCACCTTATCTAAAAACCGGCAACTTTAGTGTGTACATTGTCGTTTTTCGCATCATCTTATCTTTCTTTTTCCTTTTTGTTTGTATAAAAAATGGATAATTATGTTTATACACTCACGGTTTTGGTGATTTAATCACTTTTAGTTACTATTTAATATGCAGTAATTGAAAGTGTTTTGTCAATTGACACAACATGGTTTATGATAAACAAACTTGAATATCGAGATTGAACGGCGTGAAAAACTTTTCTTGGCTAATATTTTGACCATCCATTCTCCATCAGATATTAACAAATCATAATTAAGAAGTCTAATGACAATTCGTGTTAGATTTGTTTGTTTTAGATGGTAAGAAATAAGAATTTTGAGGCACAAAATTAATTATACATTAAGGGTTATATTACGGTTGAAACAAGTTTTGGAACAATTGACTCTTGGTGTTGGTGGTACCATAGGCAGGAGCTATATGGGAAGTCGGGGTAGTCCGTGTTACCCCCTCAAATTTCGTTCACTAATATATATTTTTTTGGATTTTCTTTTAATAACGGTGCGACCCTTGGAACCAAACCCGTTTAACTCGAACCCGAAAAAAAAAATCATATTGTATATCATACGGTAAAAATATTGTGGTACCCCTGAACTTTTTTTCTGATTCCGCTGCCGGATGGTATCGGCAGGCACCTCCGTGGCAATCGTCACTGCACATTCCTCTTGACAGTCATTTGTTTAGCTTATAAAAGTATGAATTTCGCACCTTGTTAAGCATAAACTGGTACAGTTACAGGAGCCTAATGCTTGTGGTGCACAATTCTATATAGAATGTTTAAGGTTCAAATCTTACATGGCCAAAATATAATTAGTGCTATGTGATTGGTGATTTAACCCTACGTTATGGGCCTTAAGGTGAGGTTGTCCAAATGAGGTTGTTTTTTTTTTTTTTTTTTTTTTTTTAATAAAAAAATTTAAGCATAAATCATCTCTTATGTATTTGCCTAGATCTCAATTACCTAAATACTTGATAAGACTAACATAGCTAATAAAAAGCTAGATAGTTTTTCCTTCTAAATAAGACCTTGTTTTTCTTGTTTATTTATTTATTTTTATTTATTTATTTATTTATTTTGTCATTTTTAACAATTTGACACTTTTAATAGCTTTACCGATAATCTTCGGTTTAGACGGCTTCTCAAAAAATCCTTAATTTTTTTCGAATAAACCTTTACATTTATATTCATTTTTTTTTCCGAATTAAACATCAACCTCTTTTTTTCTCCTAAACAAGACCTTGTACCTTTTTTTTTGTCATTTTTTACAATTTAACACTTTTAATAGGTTTATGGACAATCTTCGGCTTTAACAACTTTTCAAAAAACCCTCTACTTTTTTTTCTTGAAAAAAACCCCACATTTATTTTATATATATATGACAAAATTGCAAAAATGGTCATTGTGGTATGCATTGTTTTAGGGTTTTAATCCAAACCACAATTTTTTTGGATTGTTGGTCCTTTTGAGCTAGTTTCGTTGGGTTTTTGGTCCCTCTGAATAGTGAAATGACTGTAATGCCCATCTGAATAGTGAAATGACTGTAATGCCCATATGGGGTCCACCATCTCTCTCTCTCTCTCTCTCTCTCAAGTCAAAAAACCACCCGATCCATCTTCTTGCCCAAATAACCTCTGCTGGCAAACAAGGCCATTCTCAAGCGCCTGGTTTCACAAACCAAACAAAGTTCACCATCTCCTGCGTTGTATTCATCTTCGAGGTATGTTTCCTCGTTATCTCTATACCTTTCTCGTGGCAGAATTGTTAGATCAGAAAGAAACTTTCATGGGTTTGTTTCCAAAAACAGGGTTTATAAGTCGTTTATTGGCATGGGGTATTAAAACACCTCTATTCCTCCTATGATTTTGAGGAACATTATGGAAAAAAACACTGGTTGGTACACCCAATACACTCCCTACCAGGCTGAAATTGCACAGGGAAGGCTCGAATCCCTGCTCAATTTCCAAACCATGGTAACAGATCTTACTGGTTTACCCATGTCAAATGCTTCATTACTCGATGAAGGAGCAGCAGCTGCAGAAGCCATGGCGATGTGCAATAAATCTGGAAGAATAAGAAGAAAACATTCATCATTGCAAGCAATTGACACCCACCGCTTCTGTTCACTTGCCTCTTCCTCACAATGTTCTTAAATAAATGCACATGTCCTCTCAGAAACCACTCATTCACAAACTCCCATCGATCCAGATCCACTTTTCTAAATCCCTACATAAACATCGATCACAAATCAATCATAAACACATACACACAAAATAAATATGAACTAAACAGTATTGTCAATTGCTTACGTAGGTATTGAGTTGGCGAATGAAACTGGAGAAATTACTGTGCTTAAAGTAAGCAGGTAAGAGGCGTTGTGAGAAAGCTAAAGAGTCAACGATGATGAAGCTGTTGTTGGAGTTTCCCCACCGGATTAGATCATCTGAAGAAGAATCTTTGACGTCGACACCTTTCTGATGAACGAGAGATAGAGAAGACGAAGAATGTGGATTTCGTTTTTGGAGGATTAGGTAACGACAAGGGCTGATTTCGTTTTTGGAGAGAGAGAGAGAGAGAGAGAGAGGGTGGACCCCATATTTTTAATTAATAAAACATTAAATTAAATAGAAAAAACAAAAAAAAAAATACCAGAAGGACATTACAGTCATTTCACTATTCAGAGGGACCAAAAACCCAATGAAACTAGCTCAAAAGGACCACCAATCCAAAAAAGTCGTGATTTGGACTAAAACCCCAAAAATGCATACCACAGGGACCATTTTGCAATTTTCTCTCTCTCTCTCTCTCTCTCTCTATATATATATATATATATATATATATATATATAATGGAATCTAATTTCAGCTTTCAAGTTTTCCTAATAAGAAACATTTTTTTTATTTTAAAAGTGATTTGATCCATAATAATGCTTTTATATTCATTTGAGACCCAATTTTTGTTTCTTTCTAAACAAGTTTTATTATTTTGGCTCAGAATTATCATGTTGGTTTTGTTGTTCATTATAGCGTTTTAATGGTTTTCTACATTAGAATTTGAAGAAAACATTTAAATTGTTCAAAACAAAGATAAAGGCTATAATATCCAATTCTTATTGACAAAATGCATATTAAAATCTATTTGCACTGTGCTCGAAGAATGTAGCATGTGAGAAACAATGATCTAAGTTGGCTTAGTATCTTAGGTTGTTTTAAAAATCAAACAGAATCACAACTTTCACACATCAATCTATATGGAATCTAATATAAGCTTCATGTTTTCCTCGTTATAAACATTGTTAAGCCAGATTAGACAATTGTTCTTCGCCTGCTACAAACTTTGAACATACTGTAAATAGATTTTTGATATAAATTTTGCCAACAACAATTCAATACAACATCCTTCTATTGGTTTTGAAAAAAAATCAACGTTTACTTAGATTTCAACGTTACAAAGGTATCAAAACCCCATAAACAAGAATACTAAGAAAAACATAAGAATTATCAGTGAAAACGAATTGGTTAAATGTGAGGGTTTTTTACGGGAAAAATATTTGAGGTTTTTTTCCGAAAAAGAAAATGCAAGAGATTTTCTTAAAAGCTTGTCTAAAACTAAAAAGATTACTTGTAAATATGCTAAACGGGTCAAATAAAAAAAACAAGATTTAAAAAAAAATTAAAATTTAATGTGAAAAAACTTAATGATATTTTATAATATCAACCCTAAAAAGCTTATTTCTTTATCATTTAATAATGTAATTTCCTCGTCTCCTTCTCTTGTTAGCAAATTAGACTCTTAGTTTGATTAACATCGATTTTTTTAATTTGTGGGGGGGGGGGGGATTTTAATAGAAACTAGCATGACACTTGAAAGAGTACGTTACAACGTTACAACAAAATAGAAGCTAAATATTTGAATTATAGAGCCAAGAAGTCCATACCAACTTAGCTCTGCTACACATCGTGGAAATCCAAAAAAAACCCTATCAACCACCTCATAAAAACAAAGATTTCCTAGATAAAACCATTCCAAACATAATGAAATTATGAAAATTCCATAGACACAAAAAAGAAGTGAATACCACAGCCTCAAAAGCCTTCCTTTTCCCACCCATTAATGTCAGTGTATCCAACCAAGAAACTATAGTTTGCATGGAAATTGTATCAAGAATTGTGAGACGCCACCAAATAACAATATGTCTCCATAACTCTATGAGCTCACAACATGTGAACATATGATTTACCGTCTCGACTCAATGAAAACAACTACGACACAAGATCGAGTCCACCTCAATACCCATATACAATAATCTTTCTCTAGTAGGAATAGAAAAAAACAACAAACACCATGTAACGCCAAGTTTCATGTATGTTTCTTTTAAGTAAATTAATATGTTGGATGCTGGATTTCTGGTGGCCACGGCGTGGTGATGGAGTCCCATGGCGTGACCAAGGCTAAATTTTTGTGGCTCTAAGCTAGCGCCAAGACGTGGGCAAGACCAAAGTTTCGTGGGCTCTACAACTTGCAAGATGATCATTGGTGGGTTAAACTTGTTTTATGTTATTCAAAATAATCAAGTCTTTCGTTGTCTAAATCTTATGTTTTTGAAACTATGTTTTGAATAAAAACCCAACAATTTGTTTGGTTAGATTTTTTGATTTTTGGAAATCTTAGTTTTTGGAGAATATTAACTTGGTTTTGTATAAAAAAACAAGTTCAAACATATTTTCTATGACAACTTTATAATTGTTATTTTTTATGTGACAAAAGTTTCATGCATCTTTTGTTATTTAAAGTTGTCTTAGAAAAACAAAGGTTGTTTAATGTGTATGTTCATATGTATGATGTGCATAAACTAGCCAAGAACCATTATGTTTGTTGTATTTGGTGTTTTTATTATAAAAATGGTTGTAATAATTTATTTATTCATATGGTATGTATTAAATTAAATATATTAGTTTTCTTGGTTTATTTTTGTAAAT